GACTATTATGTTAATATCGGGCTATGGGCCCTAAGTTAACACAAGTTCTAGTAGTTAAATCGGCTAATACGGCCTAAGTAACACAAGTTCTAGGTATGTTAAATCGGGCTAGGCCTAAGTAACACAAGTTTATTATGTTAAATCGGGGCTAACGGGCCTAAGTAACATCATGTTCTAGTAATGAATCGGGCTATACGGGCTTAAGTTAAACACAAAGGTTCTATTTATGTTAATCGGAGCACGGGCCTAAGTAAACACCAGATCATCGTGTGTTAAAGGAGCTACGGGTTAAGTAACAACAAGTCCCTTGTGCTGGAGCGACTATTAAACTTTCGCAGTACCTTTGATTACACAATTACGGATCGTAACAGCCCTTGTTTGATAAGCTTGATTTGGTTTGTTTGCCGATGTCAGTAAGCATCCCTTGAGACTTGTTGATAATTTGATTGATGAATACGGTTCATACCTTGTTTTGCCGATGTCAGTAAGCAATCCCTTGAGACTGGTGATATTTGATTGATGAATATACGGTTCATCCTTGTTTTGTCAGGATAGTCAGTAAGCATCACCTTGAGACTTGTGATATGTTGATTGATGATACGGTTCATCCCTCGTCTTGATAAAGTTTGATGTGTTTTGTTTTGAAAGACTCGGCTATATTCATGCAAACCTTTATTATTAGTACCATTCACTGACTGAGTTTTGTACTCACCTCTATATATATATGTAGGTGATGAGCAGGACGTCGGCGACGCCTAGACTGTTTTTGAAAGCTTGTTTGGACTCTTGATTATGTCGGCTTTGTTTTTTTGTATTCACGTCGGCAATGCCATTTATTTCATGTCGGCGAATCTTGAAAATCATGCTTCTTGGCTTGTATTTACTGTATTTTGTATATGTCGGCTCGAGAAGCCTTTTGATCAAGATGTAACACGTATTTTGTTTTGTTGTATTTAAGTTGTAAGTTGAATGACATTTCATTTGATCTATGCACAGCTCTTATGGACCACTTGTATTTTAGATTATTGCTTCCGCGTTTGTGAGCCCCGTTTATCATACTCTGATTGTGTTAAGTTTTGAAAGTTGGCCTTCGGTAATTACGGATTACTGGCCATCACGGCACCAAACTACTAGGGGCGGTTTGGGGTCGTGACACTTCTAGTAGCATATCAGACACTAGTTGAAGAAGTTCATCAAAGCTTTCATTAGAACGATCATGTGCAGCTTTATGCTTGTATAAAGCAACAATTGCTGAGAATTTAGTGTACTTTGTACACCCTGGATATAAAGGAGTTTCAACATCTTCTAATGATTGTGTTAATTCTCTCTCTCTACTTTCACTTGTAGACTCTGCAAAATCATCATCTTTTACATGCACGTCTCTGAACATCTTATATGTGTTCGAAATTTCCAAATCTTCCTGACGTGACGATGCACTTAGTTGTTCCCCATGAAAAAACCAAGAAGTATATTTAGGATCCATCCCTGGCATGACCAAATGCTCATACACAATCTCACAAAATTGGTGAGATAGATTTTGACAATTTCTACAAGGGCAAATGATCATTTCGGGATTCCCTACATTTGCCCTAGCTGTATCTACGAATTTGCATGATTCATCTAGATAATCCTTCGACAATCTGATAATTTTACATCGAAATTTATTATTCCAATAAAATAACCGTAAAAAAGCTTAAAAGTCAGTGTTTTAGAAAAAAACCCATGAAAGATGCACCCAAGATTTATCCATCTAGACCCAAGTAATCTCTGGATATTATTGTGTTTAGAGCTACATTTAATCTCTGGATCCAAACCCAAGTAAATGAATCAACTTCCAACGAAAGGTATTCAAAGATCAAAATTGTTAAGATGGAGATCTTTATCATTAGATTTTATGTTTTATGGTAATTTTATATTATTGAAATGCATGTAAACTAATCAGACAACTGATTAAAAAATTTTGGGACAAGGTCGGCCATATTGACGTACTAATTAGTAGGCTGAAAATTAGCACCTAGTCAAGGTAAATTAACTACATAGTGTATGCTTAGTACCTAAGTATTGATGCTTATTGAACAAAACTAGAAGCTAAGTGCTATGATATCTAATCAGCACATCTTTATTACCGTGCAATTTATTATTGAAGCATAGTTCCATGGAAAAAGAATAACACAAAGTCCTAAACAGAGAATTACTCAAAGGTGAAGCACATTAAAATAAGTGGGTGAAAATAGGGTAGATCAAGCAGCTAGCACATTAGCTAAATTCATTCAATCATATGAATAGTAAACAGGAAATGAATGAAGAATGGAAAGAAGAAAAGTACTGAAATAAGTCTAAAATAGACTAAAATACTAAAATACTAAGAAAACATAAATAACTACAGGAAGTGTGAGCTTATAATAATCATTGAACAAAATGAAACTATCTTTAGCAATCATTTCAAACTTCAAAGGGTAGAGACAAACTCAACTGCTATGCCAAGAAACCTAGAGAAAACTGAACAAGGAACAATGCCAAAAAACAAGATTGACTTTTGTATTGAACACGAGAAATGTTGGAAGAACTATAATTAACAAAACCCAATTGTGCTATTATTGACAAAACATTAAAGCTAACTACGACATGCATTTAATTCAAAGGAATCTATCTAATCTCTTGCCTCCAAAAGATGAATCATGAATTTAATTCCTTTGAAAAAGGCTACATAAATCCTATTTTTTCATTCCACTTGATCAAAGGTGTAAAATTAATCTAAGTTATGCACTCAAGAAGTGGGTAATTGCTATGCTACTTGTCAAATTTTGTCCTCGTCTTTTGTTTGCATAAAATTTCTAATTTAAAGCTCAAAAGGAAAAAAAAGAAAAGAAAAGAGAAACATCCTATTTGGCTTTATAAAACTTTTTATAATTTTTTTATTTATTTAACTATCTTGTACCTGGTGGTGTCACTAATTTTAGTAGATTACAAGAAATTTGCTAAATCTGAAAGATGAGATTTGACAAATAGTCAAGTTCTCATAATCTTTATAGAGATTATTTCATTTTTACCCCTATACTTTGTCACGATTTTCAATGACCCCCCAGACTACTCTTATTTTCACACATGCCCCTATACTATTTAAGTTACTATCAATTTTGCCCCTGCCGTCAAATTTGAAACAAAAAAAGTGAAAAAAATTACATTTTGGCCCAAAATTTCAAAATAAAGATGCAAACCCACCCTTTCCTACCAGAAAACTACCACCAGCAACCACCATTTTAAGCCCTTCTATCTCCTTCATCATAACTCCGCTTTGCCTCATTTTTATGTCATTGGATTCAACTCACGGTCTAGTTTTCGTATCACATCTCATACGTCTCGTTCTTCCTGTTTTTGCATGCTATTGAAGCTTCGAAAGTTTATAAAAAAAATAAGATTTTTCTTCTCATTTTCGACTTTTCTTCGAGCCATCTTTCGGACATCATATCTTTTTCGATTCTTGACGGTTCTACTTCATTCTTTCGCTATTCTCTTCACCTCACTTCCTACTTCGCCCTACACTACCTCGCTTTCTCACTTCTTCATGTAATGGATGGTTGTGGTATGTTGAAAGTTGTTCGAAAACTAATTTTGAAATTTTCAAAACATTCATCATTTGCTTTCTTTTCCTTCCTCATTCTTCTTCTTCTTCTTCTTCTTCTTCTTCTTCACTTATAACATGATGTGGGACATGGTTCTCGGTGGTAACGGAACTAGTGATGGTGGCGGTGATGGTAATATAGTTCGGTGGCTGTGAAGTTGGTGGTTCGAATAGTGATCGGTCATTACCCGCACATCAACCCGAACTTGGTCATAATTGCAGAATATGCATAGACACCCATCCAACTCCCTTACACAAATATAAAAATCTTCATCAGAAAACTCCAGTTGTGGTACTAATTGATACTCCTCATTAGTAAGATCAAATGCAACCACCAAAAAATTAACACTATCTAACTCGTAGTTTCGACTCACAACCCAATGTAAAGCACCACCGGCATACACGCCATGCCAAAAACTATCCCTTAGATAATAAGGGAAATCTTGAATTCTTCGCCATGAATTCTACTTCAAACTGTAAACCCTAACTTCATATTCAAATAAGTCCCAATTTTTACCATGAAACTGAGTAGTCCTCATAAGTTTATAATCGTTAGTAACAAAATCATACCCAAATTAGTAAATTATGTTCCAGTAACTAGTAAAAAAGAACAGTGAAGAAATCAAGACAAAATGAAAATGGGTTTGAAAGTGATCAAGCGATCAACTTGTTTTCTGTTGTGTCTGGAGATAGATTCTTGATATGTATGTATATAGAAAGATGATATATATCTCTTCATCAATTTCATCACCTTCATCAACTTCACCAATATCACCACCCGAACCACCAACTTCACCGCCACCGAACTCCATTACCGCCACCATGATCGTTACCATCACCACCACCTTACAACACCAAACCCACATTTTTCACAACCAAGTTCCATTACCGCCACCATGAGCATTACCACCACTACCATCTTACAACACCAAACCCACCGCCATCGCCGGACTGCCACCACCACCATTACCAATTCCATTATCACCTAGAACTATGTTGTGAAGAAGAAGAAGAAGAAGAAGAATGAGGAAGATGGGGAAGAAAGCAAGTGATGAATGTTTTGAAATTTTCAAAATTAGTTTTCGGACAACTTTCAGCATACCAAAATCGTCTTTTACATGAAGAAGTGAGAAAGAGAGGTAGTGTAGGCGAAGTAGGAAGTGATGTGAAGAGAATAGCAGAAGAATGAAGTAGAACCGTCAAGAATCGAGAAAGATATGAAGTTCGAAAGATGGTTCAAAGAAAAGTCAAAAATGAGAAGAAAAATCTTATTTTTTTACCAACTTTCGGAGCTTCAATAGCATGCAAAAAGAGGAAGAACGAGACGTATGAAATGTGATACGAAAACTAGACCGTGAGTTGAATCCAACGACATAAAATGAGGCGAAATGGAGTTATGATGAAGGAGATAGAAGGGCCTAAAGTGGTGGTTGCTGGTGGTGGTTTGCTGGTAGGAAAGGGTGGGTTTGCATCTTTATTTTGAAATTTGGGGCCAAAATGTAATTTTTTTAACATTTTCCATTTCAAATCTGACGGCAGGGGCAAAATTGATAGTAACTTAAATAGTGTAGAGGTACGCATGAAAATAGGAGTAGTATGGGGGTCATTGAAAATCGTGACAAAGTATAGAGGCAAAAATGAAATAACATCATCTTTATACATCTTAAAACATTATTTTGAGCATTTTCCTATTTATTTAGGATCAAGCCTCCATATGGGGCCAGGAATTCAGATCACAAGTATAGAGTCTATTTGAACCATTGGGCCAAGGATGGTGGTGTTGATATGAATCAGGTGGAGCATCCTCATGGTGGTGGTAGCCACCAACACATTGGCCATGTCATTACGGCTTTCTGTGATGCCCCTTCTAGCTATAAGCTTGGTCTCCTTGTAAGGAGGAGGTTTCGGGGTCAAACTACTGCTACTGCTACAAAAGCTAATAAGAGTACTTAAGGTTCGTTTGAGAATTTGTTTTTTTATGGTTCTTTGATTTTTTTTACGTAAAGACATACAAAAAAGTAAAAAAAATAGGTTGACTTTTTATGGTGGCTTTTTAACTAATTTAGCCACTTCCCAAACAAAGCCTTAGATAATGTTACTATATGAAGTTTGTTAGGGTTATGGTTTGAGGCTTTGGATAACTTGTGCTATAATATATTTTTTTTAATTTTTTATTTGAAATCAGCTACTTGGGATTTTAAAGTTATGATTAATGTTTGCTGTCGATGGAATATAGGCACATTTTAGATTATTTCTTGCTATTGGAATGGAGTTACTCATGTTTGATAACATGTTGGCTACTTAAATGACCAGTTTAGACTAACTTCACTGGGCATTACCAAAATGAAATAAAGTTATAATTTAGTATGTTATAGCATTAAAATGTCAAATTTTGATAATATTTCTACAAATGTCATTTTGGCACATTTAGATTACAATGTGAAAACTATTATGAGTAATGCAATGCCAAATTATGACCATATTGCTCTATTGGTGCAAATGTCATTTTGGCATATTTAGATTATTTATTTATTTTTTGTGTGTTCTCACATTTGTGTTTGGTATGATGAAATGGAATGAGAGTGAAAATGAAATAGAAAGTTAAATGGAATGAATGCTCATTCTAATTCATTGTTAGGATGCTAACATGAGCATTCATTCTAAAGGTGGTAGTAGCCAATAGAGGAAAAACTAAGAAGTCGTTAATTCAAAGGATGGAACTAAATCAAGGCTCTGTATACATTCTCTGAATTTTGCCTGGCCCTACTAAGTTCTGCGGGCATGACTTCTTAACAAAGTTTTGGAAAAATTGATTCAAAGTAATATTTAGCTAACAGTAACACAAATTGAAATCATATAACAAAAGATGAGCATACACACAAAAATCCGCACTACACTACAATAACAAATAAGAAACAACCAAGCAAAATCAAGATAGACATACCTAGAAATGGAATAGAGAATGCAGAGAAATTCACAACAAAAAAAATTAAAAATTTTTTGCTATCTTATTAGTGAATCAATGAATTTCAATTTGTGAATCAATGAAATCAAAAAAATAATAATAATAATAAAATACAATCCTAAATCTTATCAGTGAATCAATGCAGAAACAAAGCAACAAAACACAACAATTTCAAACAAATCTAAGGGCTTCGATTTCCTCCAAACCAATGTTCGATCAAATATGAAATTGCTATCTCATAACCCTCTCTAGAAGTATGAATTAGTTACCTGGTGAATGAGAGAGGAGAGATCGGAATGGACAAGAAGGAGACGATCGATGGCGTTGTTTTCGATTAATCTTCATTCACCGGTTCACAGATGCCGATGGAGAGAAGAGAGAGAGAGAGAGAGAGAACGAATTGAGCCGAGGTTAACAAAACAAAAACAATATTAATAAAAAAAAATCTGGAAGGTAAAGAATGTTTAACTTTAACAACATTAATAAGTAAATAAAAATTGAAGGAAAAAATTTAGACAAAAAGATTTTATGTATAAGTTTATAAATTATTTTTGTATTAAAAAATTGTACATTATAAATAGAATATCTACTAGATTTTATAAATAAAAAAATTTGTCATATCTACTAGAAATTTATAAATATCTAAGAACATCTCGAATTGTTTTTTATTATTATTATTTACAATTAAAATATAATTTGGAAAAAAAATTTAAAAAAAAAACTTATTGATTTATAAGATTATGAATTTTTGAGAAAGAAAATAAAAAAATTTAAAAACTTTTTGGGGTAAATTACAAACACACCCCTGAGGTTTACTTAGCTCTTTTTGGGAAGTTGGTTTGTGGGCTTTTTTTGACTAAAATAGCCACAAAAAACAAAATAGGCTTTTTAGCCCAATAAGACAAAACATCACATCCAACCCATAATCATTACATTCTTTCTCTCACAAAAAAGCCAAAAAAGCCAAAAGGCCTTCCCAAACCAGGCTTTTTAGCCCCAGGCTAAAATAGCCAAAAAAGCCAAAAAGCCAACCCATTTCCCAAACAGAGCTCTGTGATTCTAGAATTTACATTATGCACCCTAAGGTTTCTAATTTCATAACAAATAGGTCTTTTATTAATAAATCATCAAGTTAATTAACAGTTTTTAATAATGTTAAATTTTTATTTCAATTAATAATTTAGATAATTTTATTATTGTATAAGTGATCAGTTAGAAATTTCACATTTTCAATTAATTCTGTTAAATAAAAAAATTACGACAGAGAGGTATTTGTAATTTTCCAAACCACTTGTGGCAATTCGTATTTTAAGCAAACCTCAGGGGGTGCATTTGTAATTTACCCAAAATTTTTCTGATAAGAATTTTCACTACATACTAATGCATGCCGTGTAAAATTATGATAAATTATAACATAAAATGCATGTCATCTTAAGTATAAATATTTCACGGCATATTTTTTCAAGCCGTGAAAGTATATAAATTATTTTTGTATTAAAAAAAATCTAGATTGTAACTAGAATATCTAGTTTATTGGGAAAAATAAATAAAAATTTCTCCTATCTACTTGAAATTTATAAATATTTAAGAACAGCTAAATATTTTTTATTATTTATAATTAAAATATAATTTCTCTAGAGAATGAGAGGGTTATGAAGAATTCTAGAAGAACCTAGGGAATTCAAGAATCTATACACTTGTACATATAATTAGATATTTGTATAGATAGTTCTAGAAGGCATTCTAGAACATTCTTGTAGCTTGTAAAGAAGGCTTCCATGGGAAGTTTCTACATGACATTTTCTTAAGAGTTCTTGAATGCTCCTAGGGAGCCTATAAATAGGAGAGGAGCTCATTTGCTCTAATCCATCCAAGAATTGTACAGCATTCTCAAAGTGAAATACAAAAGGCATTCTCTCAAACTCTCATTGTCTTCTTGTCTTTCTTCCAAGTTTGTGAGTTAGGCTGACATAACATCATCAAGTGAGGCTTGAGATTGTCTAAGTGCCGCACAGAGTGCTTGGAAATTACCAAGGCCGTGACAAACCGCTATATTTATATGTTCCCTAGAACTTTTAAGGGCACGTAAATAATTAGTTGCTCTTTGTTCCAAACCCCCTTCACCTTCCCCTTTCTTGTGTGTGCTACATGGGCATTCCTGAATGGCAAGTCTTCTTTTTGAACTCTTAAAAGGCTAGGATTTTTTTTTTCCTCCAAGCAAACAAATGAATTTTAGGGCCCATTTGATAATGTTCTAAAAGACTGAAAAAATAAAAACGATACTAAAAACATGTTTAGTAAGAATTTTCCTAAAAAATGCCTCATTTTTAGGAACTGTTTATTTTATTTTATTTGAGTTCTCAAAATTTTAACTTCAGTGAAAATGACATGCAAATAATTTTGTTTTTGTATTTTCCGTTACTAAAAAAAACAAAAAGAAAAATCGAAAACCAAAAATAATGAGAACAATGCCAAATGGGCCCTACATATTCCCGGGCACCAGGTGATGGTAAATTCATCTTCAAGTCTCCGTCAGTCAGAGTTTCTATTGTTAGGAAACCATCATTAGCCTCCAACGACAATGGACTGGCAAAACATGAGGAGGAGCACAAAGCAAATGTTTCTAGCTCTAGACTAATGTCTCTATGTTAAAACTACGAAAGCGATGAAGATGATTAGTTATCAATTGTAAATGACTACGTCAAGATTTCTTCTTTTTGTAGTATTGTTTCAAGGAATGCTTTTATTACAATTCTAGTTCTCATTAAGCTTTTGCTAGTGAAACTTGTTTTTTTGGGAGCAAACAAACAACATCAGAAACATCAACCTGGCTATACTCCGAAAGCAATTGGCAAAACAAAAAAAACTCAAGAAACACCAAGGTAGCATTTGGTAGAGTTTTCTAAATATGATTTGAGAGTAGGAGTTGTATTTTGACTTTGTGAGTTTTGGAATTATGATTTGAGTGTAGAAAATTTGTTTGGTTATGATTTTTGAATAGAGTGTTGAATTGAGTGTGTAATTGAGTTTTGAAAGTTTGATGTGACATGTGAAGTAAGAAAATTTGTTTGGTTATGAAATTTTTTTATGAGTTTTCACAACTTAATTCAAAAAGTTATATATCATAATTAAACACACAACTCGAAACTCAATTGAAAATTTTGATCAACATTCATAACCAAACTCTTTTTAAAATTCAATTCAGAAAATGAATTAATATTTTTTTTCAATTAATTTTTTTTTGAAATAATTTTTTTTCAATTAATTAGTTTTTTCAAATAATTTTTTTTTAAATTAATTTTTTTTCAATTATTTTTTATTTCAATTATTTTTTTAATTAATTTTTTTTTTTCAATTTCACCGGCTATGAATACTATCCAAGAGACTGAATCCCATGCTCACATAAATGCAACACATAAGTCCTAACTTTCATGATATCCATATGCAACGTCCTCACTACACGTAGTAAACCCACTGTGGTAAAAACCACTTCCCACGAGCCCAAAGTATTCAAACTCGGCTCGCTCTGATACCAAGTTGTCACGCCCCACTTTTTATTACTCGACCATCATTATTGTACTCACCTGTCCATTTCACTGTCAATTGCACCCGTGAAAGAGAGACCCGTAAAGTGGAAGTACCATCAATAATGTTAGTGTGTGATGGGTTTGACATTGAAATTACCACATTACCCCTCTTTCAACGAATACTAATATGTTAGAAAAAAACAAAAAGTACAACATGGTAATTTAACTCATATTCTGCAGAGCCATCAGCCCTCTGCAAAACCTCAGTTGGTTAGCTTTGATAAAAGCAACAAAAAAACAAAAAAAAAAAACAAAATAGTTGGTCAGCTGTGGATCAAAGTAAAAAAAAAAACTGAAATGACCCAGAATTTTTTTTCTCATATTTATAAATAGTTTATTAGAAACCTCTCACCTAGTCAATAAAGACTCCTACAGATATGTCGATAAATTATTTGTTTATT